TGCACGATTCTAAACTGATAGCCTGTTTTGAGGAGAGAGAGAGAGAGAGAGAGAGAGAGAGAGAGAGAGAGAGAGAGACGTCTGTTCAACAGTATTACATGTACCTGCGTTATGACACAGAGGGATATCAAACCTGTGGTATGTTAACTTCGGTGTGTCTTCTCCTCCTTTGGTCCTCACTTCCTCCCTCCTTCATTCTCCTTTCAGCCTACTTCCTTCTGCATAAATCTTAGTTTTAGTGATAGTTTTACGGCACTTACAACACAACCAGGTCCTATAAGGACCGAACATTGGAGCTGTTACAAAAGTAACGAACAAAAAAGGAGGAGAGATAAGGACGACTGATGTATGATAGGAAAGGAGGAGTAAACCACATCAAAGCACCAGCCAATCACCCGCTGCTGCATAACTATCCGCTGTGCGGAACGATTCCCCCTCCAAATACCCTATTTGCGCCCAATAGGTGTTACGTTGCACACATAATATGCACACAAAAACAAAAGAGATCACTTTAAAAATGGTTTTGCTGAAGGCTAGTGTGGCGTCGGTAGTCAAGTGTTTGGGATACCGGAGTCGTAATCGTAAGCTTGCAAGTTCAGGGGTCTGAGCTTCACGCCAGATGTTGTGTCCTTGGGAAAGGCACTTTACACGAATTTTCCTCTCTTCTTCCAGGTAGGAATGGGAACTCGGCCATAGGTATCGAAAGAGCTTGTCGGTATGTCAGTGCTTTAGCGCCTAATATGGTAGCCAGCACTGTTTGCTTCCAAAGAAGTTGAGAATGTATCAGAGTAATATCGGGTCTGCAGAAATGCAGTTATGAGACTACAAGCTCTTTAACCAGTTTTGATAACACCTTTTTTTCATTGAGCCCTTCAAATGTAATTATACATATTCGGCGTCACTTTCGAAATAAATTTGATAATTTAAAAGACAGTAGGCCAACCACTGCAGTGTGAGATACGTCAGCAGAATGACAGGGATGCTTCATAAAATAACTGCCACACTAATTGGGTACTGATCTCACGTCCATAGGCTGCAATGAGGGAAGCATGACCACCCCCCCC